CTCAGAAAGGGACACGACAGCAAGGCTTCTTTCCACAATGGCCTAGCACAGCTCTGTGATCTATTAACATTCTTTACGTACTTCTTTGTTGATGCAAACAGTAGACTAAACTCCCTTGCAAAGCATACCAGAAACCCAAGAAGTCAATGCCCAGAGCCAAATTGTTATGAATGACTAGCAGAGACAGAAACTGAAGGCCACGGATACAAGGTCGATTCTGTTCATGGCAGAAGGCTGCCATCCAGCGAGGTACCCACAGAATCAGTGCTAGGAAGAGAGACAGGAAAAGTAGTTTCAAAGTGTGCGAGTGGCAGTTAAATCAAGACCGAAGCGGCCTGTAAAAGTGGTGAGGGTACTAGCAAACCTGGGTCCAGGGTGATGCGCTCGCCGTGAGAGCGTGAACAGAATCACAGTGCAAGGCAGTACATGCTGGAAGGAACGGGAACTCCTCGCACACATCACTTCGGTGCAAAATTGACTGCTTGCTCCAGAAGGAGACCTAGTTGCTACGGGGGAGCTCAGCAGACAGGAGACCACCAGCAAAAGCAGGCAAAGGGCTAGGACAAGGCAGTGGTTCCTAAGCTACAACCTAGGGCCCCTTGCAGGTTTTCTGCCCCACTAGCTCAGCTCTCCCTGGAAGAACAAAGCCATTAACAGAGTAAATGGCTTTACTACGGCTTGCTTTTACCCCTGTCAAGTGCCAAGAACAACTATCGCAGCAAGATTAGAAGTGTGCTGTCTCCCTCTGCCAGGATACATTAGAGGAAAGTCTGGTAGCCAGGCTAGGTTAAAAACCCCAGGAGGTTCTGGACCACAGAGCCAAGGAGCAGGAAACGGGAGCATGGGTCTAGAAAGAGCCAGTGCAAAGAGATGGCACAGGAGGGGAAGAAGGCACTGCAATAGCTCGGTGATGCAGTGTTGTCCAGGGAAGGTAAAGGGGCAATGGATTTGCATTGGAGCAGGCAGAGGAATTGACTGCATGAAGCAATGACGCTCCATCATGCAAGATGTTACTACAGCTGCTGGAGGGGAGGCAGCTGCACAACTGCAAACCACAGCTGGATTCAGAAGTGAGCCACATTGGGGAAACAGCTGGCACCTCCTGAGACAGAAAACCCTGACAGAAGGGGGATGGAAGTGCTTGGAAGAAATGAAATGGCAACTGGCTGCTTGGTGGCGAACCCAGATGGCTGGGCACGGGAGGCCGAGACCTCACTCAGAGTCCAAAGGGGACAGGGCAGGGCTACCTCTGCGTCCATCGGTTCCTTGTCTTCTCCCCTTCCTCCTTAATAAAAATGCCCCCTCCATTTCTAAGGAGATCAGGCAGCAGTTGATGAGATTAAGGAACTCCCCTGTGAACGGGTTATTCTATAAACGCTCTCTAGGCTGTGAACTGTCCCCTGAAGCACCTGGTTTAGCTGCAGTTGAACACAGCCTGCTAGTATCAGCATTAATCTGCCGTAGCAAGTCAGAACTGGATTGCCCATCGTCTTCAGCATGAGCGGCAGAGCCAATTATGTCACCCGGGCCAGAATACCCAAGTTCCAGGCAACAACCCCCTGTGGGCAACGGTGTCAAATCCAGCCAAATGGCGCATTTTTTCTTTTATCATAAACAGCTCTCGCAAAGTGAGACTCACCCAGTTGCAGGTTGAGTCAAAGCAGAGCTCTGCGATCCTGTTCACCTCAGCAGCGCTCAGCTGAACCTATTCAGGGGTTAGGATGCTATACTGAGACTTGGGTTTCACTCTCTGCCATGCTACAGACTCCCTGTGCATCCCAGCAAGTCTGTCTCTGCTTCCCCCATCACCAAGATGGGGACAGTAACATCTCCTTACTTCATCCAGGTATTGCAAGGAAACAGATGTGCTGCAGATCACAGGACGGGCAGTAGCAAGGGCCACATAAGGTCATTATCAGTAAATATCAGTATGGAGCACAGTTTGAGAGAACCACTTGTCATTACTCTATTTGGAGAGCAGTAGACCACCAGGCAGTTTTAGTACTACCCCTCTGTCACTCTCCCAGGAGAGTCAGCTACTGTGGTCTCCCCCCATTTCATACCAGGCTGCCAAGCAAGAGCTCAGTGCTTCAACTGCTTCCCTTAGAAAAAGCAGCAGGAGCTGCAGGTGAACAAGGGCAAGTCAAGGCACTGCAAGAGAACTCTATGCTGGTGAAGGATGGACTCCAGCTACCAACTGGTAGCTGGAAGGGGTTAAATCAGATACTGCAGAAAGCAGAAGAAAGGCAGAGGGCCTGCTGATAACACAAGCACTCTGGCTACCACATCCACCCCCAGTCCTGGGGAAGGGAGGAGTCAAGCAACTCTGAACAAGGGCAGGCTCTTCCTTCGCTCCAAAGGCAAAGTCCAACACACTGAAAAGCTCTTTTGGGAACTAGAAAGAGCCTAGAAGCAGACTGAGGACCACACAATCACAGCAACAACAAATGGAGTGAGAAGCCCTGACTGCTGAAACACAGCTACTTTGGCAGCTAAAGGCAGACTGCCAGCATGCCATTAGCAAGAGAAGTTCTGAATAAGGACAAGCCCCCCCACCCCCCAGAGAATCCCATCACTCCAGCAGGATGAAAGAGATTTCAACATGAAGTCTCAATTTTAAAATGCTGCCATGATTGTAGAATAAAAGCTTCAAATTATCCCTGAGCATTTAATTGCAATGTTTTTTTACTGTGAAAATGATAAACTGATATAACCACCTCTCTTGAGAGATGCATTAGAGAAAGAAATCACTTTATTCCTTGTTAGAAGTGATATTTGCAAGAAGCGAGATCTGGCTGAAAATGACACTGACCAAACCAGCATGTGATCAAGTCTCTTCTAGGACCGAGGGTATGCAGTACATCACATCAAAAACATCCTTCTGATCCCAAAACGACCAGAAGCCAGCTACTTGCATGGGACATCAGTGGAAGTGGAGAACTGTGTTCAAGAGTGGAAATGCTAAGCGGAGCTCATGTAAGACAAGCACATGCTTATGCTCTGAACCCTGTGGCATCTGGGAAACAAGCACCTCCTTGAGGTGGACACCGACTCAGTCAAGCAGATGAATACTGTAAAGCTACGATACAGGTAGTGCATTCCCTTTGTATGCTGAATGCCCTATTATGAGACTCACCAGACAATCAGTTCTAAACAGTTTGAGCACTTTGGAGTTCCTTTGTAGCTAACGAATACTACAGCAACACCACAACAGGTTCCTGGGATGAGCATGTGTCAAACGCAGCAGTGAGACTACTTCTGTGGTAACCAGCACAGATGAACACATGCATCCTGTTACAGTCGCAGTGTCTT